TCGCTCTAAAAAAATCAAATTTTATTCTTAAAGATTGAAAATTGAGTCTCACACACACATTCTTTATGGACTGGCTTAATTTTCATTTTTCAAAATGAGATTCTCCTCCAAAGAATTTAGAAAGTAAATAACAAAATAACCATAGTACTTCTCTTCAGCTACAATCTAAAGTTTATAAAATTTTTCGTTCATTTATCGAGTGCCTCGCGTCACTGTGGACAACAACTGTAAATTTTCTTCGCTCTACTCGTCGCTGAAAATTCAAAACGAGCTGCATTGTCGCTCGGCGTAGCGTGAGATGCAGGAATCAATAATTATCCTGCCGCTACGCGTACCTACGGATCAGCGAGCGTGCAGTAAGCCATGTATAGAACTGGAGCAGCGTCTCCGTCTCCTTCTCCTCTCCGGTTCGGGTATCTTTCGGAGACGCCGACAGACCGCGCGCATGGCTTACATCGCGTCTGTATGTAGACGTACTCATGTATGTTGTATCAGGCCACACCAGGCCACACTGACCAGTTAGATTACTCTGAGATCCGACGCCTCTCTCTCCTCCCTCTCTCTTTCTCTTTCTTATCCATAAAGGAACTCCGAGAACGTTGATGGTCCGCGTGAGAAGCTCAGCCCCGCGTGCCCCGCGATTTATCTCACGATTTTTCTGACGCTCGAGAAATTGTCCGTTGAAAAACATTCGTCTCTCGAGACGGGAATGCATGCGGATTCGTGATTCGTGATTCGATGAGCAGCACTGAACGTGTCCCTCGCGTTGCTCCACAATAATTTCTCTCCCTCTCTGTTCTCTCTCTCTCTCTCTCATCCTCTCCCTCCCCCTCTCTCTCTCTCTCTCTCTCTTTCTCTCTCTGTCGAGGAGATCGCGCGATTCGTAAACGATGGACGTGACAGCACGATAGATTTAACGACGATTCGATCCCCGGAGTGCGAACCTTCTCGACATCATGACGCGTCTACGGGGCCGTGCATCGTTAATGGTCGTCGCGACGATCAGCTTCATCCTGTTGATTGTCATATACCACATACTGAGTAACGAGATCGACGAGATGTCATCGAGCAAAATCGGCACGCATCTGAGAGCCGAGGATGTGTATCCACCAGGTGAACTCATGGACAGCCCTCAGGGCGCTGCCAGAAGGCAGCTAGTAGATGGGCAAATGACGGGTGATTTGAAGAACGGTAGGAATAGACTGGTTAACGAATTAACTCACTATGATAAATCGTTTGCAGACGGCACTCCGCTATTCAAGGGTCATAAGATCGTCCACCTAGATCTGAAAGGCGCCCCGCCTAAGATGAGCTATTATAGCTACCTATTTCCACTGCTGCGAAAGCTAGGGGCCACTGGTGTGCTTGTGGAGTACGAAGACATGTTTCCCTTTGCTGACAGCATCGAAGACATACACGCCGGCAACTCTTATTCCAAGAAGGACATTGCGCAACTTCAAAATATAGCCAGGAACAATCAGTTAACCATCATACCATTGATACAGACTTTCGGTCACATGGAGTTTGTTCTTAAATTGGACAAGTATAAAGATTTCAGAGAAGTTCCACGTTATCCGCAAGTCTTATGTCCTACGTACAATAGAACACTACCGTTGATCTATGAAATGATAAATCAGGTCATATCAGCTCATCCAACGTTAAAATATTTGCATATAGGTGCGGACGAAGTTTATCAGATAGGAGAATGCTCAAGGTGTTTAGACGTCATGGCTAAAAGGCAATGGAGCAAACGACAGTTGTTCCTGGACCATGTCTCTGCAGTAGTTAAGTACATCAAAGAGAGATACCCAGAACTGACTGTACTTATGTGGGATGATGAATTCCGTGATATATCGCCACAGGAAATCATTGACAGGGGACTCCACTCGATGATAGAACCAGTTATTTGGAAATACACCACCGATCCTGGCATGACGCTAACGGATCAGCTGTGGGAAAGTTACGCCGCCGTGTGGAAGGAAGTCTGGGTTGCGTCAGCATTCAAAGGAGCTACTTCACCTGATAGATATTATACAGACATTTCATATCACATGGAGAACCATCAACGTTGGTTAGAAATCATTCAGAAATATTCAAATCAAATCACATTCAAGGGTGTCATGTTGACTGGATGGCAGAGATACGATCACTTTAGTGTCCTTTGCGAATTACTGCCAGTGGGATTACCATCTCTCGCCATTAATTTAGCTATATTACAAGCCTCAGATGTAAACGTCTTTCCTGTAGAATTACCCGATCGTATATCTGAAGCTTTACAATGCGATGGTATCATCTCGTTAAGCATACCAGAACCACAATACGGCTGGACCAAATGCAGTTTCCACGGAGTATCGGTATACGCAGCTATTTTACGTCTTTACTCTCTGACACAGGAAATAATGAAGATGGAACAGGATAATACCTATAAGGGATGGTTAAAACCGTATAACATTAAATATTCTTTTGCGAGCCCTAGTTATGTTGAACGTGCAGTTACTGATTTGGACAGACATAAAATGGAAATAATATATATCGAAAAAGAGATGCGTACAGCTATGGGAGATATTTATGACGAGTATACAATACAAGAGTGGCTTGAGACATATGTCATACCTGTAAACGAAAAACTCAATCGGTTATGGGAAATTAAGGAGAAACTTTTAGAGAAAAATACGTGGCCAAAGAGACCTCTCACAAAATCTGATTTATAGTAAAAAAAAAACGGCAGTTTCTTGGAATATAAGCGAAAATATTCATATTCTTTGTGGTATAATATATAAGAGACTGAAATTTTTATTAAAATAATACGAGAAAAAGAACGCAAATTTTTTCGCGAATAATTGCGAAAATTTTTAGCAATTATTTTTTAAAAACGGCGTGGATAATCAGTGAAATGTAAAAATTTTGAACTTGTAATTTTACATCTTGAGCAATTGCTGTACAGAATATGTGATAATATGTAACTTGCTAAGGAAATAATCAAATCAGAATTGCACCGTCCGTATAAATTAGTAAATCTCGTTTATCTCGATGGAAATAATTGCATTATTTATAATAGAAATAATAATGGATATTTCTTACTTATGTCGCAAGTTTAGAAGAACTATTTATATTGATTATTTTTTTCTTCCAAAAAATACTCCAAAAAGTAAACCTTAAATACACTAATAATACTCCAAATGATTTACAGAGATAGACGGTGTATAAAGATTGAAATCTATTGAGATACATATATATATATATATATGAGCCCCTTAATTGACAAGTCCAATTAGGAAAAATGCGTTTGTTACAGAAGTAGAAAGTATTAAGAATGTTTATTTTATCTATCAATTTAATTTACTTTTATTTTGTTTTTATGTTTATAAAAATTAAAAATCAATTTTACATCATAAATAAAATGACCGTTAAAAAAGGTGTAATAGTGACTTAAGTGACTTATCCATGATAAGTTATGATGTAAAATTGATTTTTATTTTTTATGAACATAAAAACAAAATAAAAGTAAATTAAATTGATAGATAAAACAAACATTCTTAATACTTTCTACTTCTATATTTAAACGCATTTTTCCTAATTTTGGACTTATGCCACTTGTCAACTAAGGGGCTCATGTATACACATATATATATTATATATACATATATATATATTAAACAAAGCAATATAATTTTGCAGCATTAGAATAAATAATTTATTGTCATTTTATTAAGGATGCTAGATCTCAGATTGTTTTTTAGAGATTTTAAAAATTATTATGTATTATATATATATATATATATACACGTAACATATTGTATAATATATGCATTGTCTATATGTATATGTATATACATATATATATTTTGTGTTCGTGTGTATGCGCATGCGCGCGCGTGTGTATGTGTGTATACGTAACATGCACGCTCTTATATGTATATGGATTATACAAAGTTAGTCTTTTCCAATCATGTACACACAGAATACCCTCTATTTGTCTTCTAATTATAAATGAATTATCTATGAACAACAGATGGAATTCGATTAGACACACTACTAATGCACTAATGCATATTAAAGCCGTTGAACACACTGATTTAATTTAGATATAAAATATAATGCAAATATTTCAAATTATAAAAGAAAAAAATTTATCTAACAGCAATTAAGAATTGTACAATGTAGTTCGTTGTAAATATAATAAAGAATTTAGAAATAAAATAATTCAGTATTGAGAATGTCGCGGTTTAATCCGTTTCTATATTTATATTAAACACATATATTAATCTTTACCTCAATATGTGTATGACGGATTTAATGTGCATCAATGCGTATTAGCAAAATGTCCAACTGAAATCGCTAAGAGTCACTGGAATGTTTAACAAAAAGACGTTGACAACTTAAATTATGTAATATATATTGATTTATGTGTATTAACGCAGCATCTTTAGTAAGCGGTTTTAGTAAGCGCAGAAATTCGTGCCATATAGACAGATGATTGCAATATGGTATGTCCCAATTAGATAAACTTTTTAAAGATAAAAAATTATTGTACATGTGATCGAATTGAAGGCTTTTTATAAAAGACGACAAATGAGAAGTTTTCAATTAAAAAATATCTATATATACATATACATGATACTGTAAAAAACTACAAATGCTACTATTAGTAAGCATTATTTGTAATTATAAAAGAGATAATACGAAGTACCTTAGAAATCATTCTTTTAATATTAAAAAATTAAAATATTCTTTCATTTAGCAAAGAGGAGGATACAAAACTTCTCTATTTGAAATTTTTATTGTTATATCGAATTTTTTATATTGAATTTTTGTTATGCTGCGTCTCTGACTGCTTTTCGATGAATGAAGTTTGTAACATAATTTAAGAAGTCTTCCTAGTAGTTTTGAATTCTTCTGTGAGTTATTACGATTTATAATATATAATACATATATATATGTATTATATATTATAAATTTTTACTACTATAAAGGTATTTTTAATGTTGTTATATAAATAATATATTGCGCGTGTAACTATTATTACAATGAGATGTGATTAATAAAATCTGTTTTTCAATCTATAGTAGACAAATTCTATGATGTTTATCTGTTGGCCCCACACTATATAAATATTCATTCACTCATTCGATGGCGCAACATCCCAAAAAGGTCGGGATGGGACCTACCTCTCGTACCTATGCCCGCATACATAGGCTTACGGAACCTATAATTTAACGTCGGTTCCAAACGGCAGCTTGAGAGGTTTTCTTGGTAATAGATACTCTTGGTTTGCAAGACCGCTAAAGAGGAATTGTGAACGCATGAAAATTTTTTGGATTTGCCGAGGATCGAACACGAGTCCCCTAGCATGGTAGACTCGCGCGCTGTCCATCAAGCTACGCTCGTGTTACATAAACATAATTTTTATATTTTCTGTTATACAATGTATTATTTAAATGTAATATACAAATTTGGTACATTCACACAATCGTAAAAAATACATTCTTGACATTATGTATTTTGTTTGTTGTTATGAACACATACTCAAATAAAGAAAATATAACATTATTGAAAAATGTCTGATGATTATCATTGCAATGCACACACCGTAGATTTTGAGGCGGGAAAATGGGGATGGAACGCAATTGGGAATTGCTTTTTAGTAGGAAATCTTTTTACGACTTTGTGTATTGAATTTATATCTACTGTGTCACCAATTTCAGCGATAATGATGGGCTTATGAAAATCTTGATCCGTTCTTGTTAATCGAACACCTAAAACTTGAGCTGCCAAACCTGCTATGCATAAAGATACCTGAAAGTACAATAAAAATTTATAACCCGTATTGATATTAATAAAATATTAATAAAAAATATATATAATATACAGTGAATAGAAAAAAAAATCATACATGGAAATTATCTTTTAAGAAACCTTTAATATTTATTTTTTACAAAGAAGGCTTTTTGATAAAAATTTCTTCTCTGTACGAATACTTTTTGCACTCACTATATTTTCTGGTATATATTAATAATTGCAGAAATAAAAGTAATTGTAACATAACAGTGGCTGCGTTCAAGTGCTTGTGTAAATCAGTGGCCGAATTGATTTACGATAGAATTTAATTGTGATTACCGCGTGCAATATCTCCTTCTTTAGTAATAATTCTCAGTTGTCGAATGATTAATCAGCAATGATTAATAGTAGTGAGCCAATAGATTCGTTTTAAAAATCAATCAATTGCGTGGATAAATCCATAAACGTATTGATACGTGATATAGATTATAAAAGGCTATCTTCCGTACGCGACCCGTAATTCGCTCACCATTTTCGTTTATAATTCATAAATTAAGCTACGCATAGAATTTTGGCAAAGGCAAAATTGTCTTAGAATTATGTCAGAAATACGTCATTTTAAGGACAAATGTTTGTTTTGGGATACTATATACATACATATATATATATATATATACATATATACGTATACATTTTTTAAATTACCGATTCTCCAGTTCTCGCAGACATATCATGATAAGGAAATCCGTTTTCCGCAGCGAATCGATGCGACCTGTCTCTCTTAACTGTTCTTTGATGTTCCATGTCACATTTATTACCTACTACCGCTAATAGAGGTACTTCGTCGTAAGCTTCAATGAAACTCTTGATTTTGCTGAGCCACTCTTCCAAAATGTCGAAACTTGAACTGTTCGTTACGTCGTACACCAAAAGAATGATCTGATTCAGAAATATACATCCAATTTGCAACAACGTACAATCGTAGCGCACAAAAGAGACATGTCTATGGATAGTAACTATGGAATCATATGGAACACTCCACACCCAAAATTTAGTTTAGTATGGAAATCCACACTCAAGGAATCCAAGAATTGGATTAAAAATCAACTGTGAATTTTTTAAAATATTGTACGTGAATGCCGACCGATATTCGTGATGAATGGTACAATTGCGCGCATCGCAAAGATTTAACTGGGATCATTTATACTGGCCGTAACCGTGTGCCGTATGCCATAATCTGTAAGAATTGACTAATCACAGTTGAGCATTTTTTTCTTACAATTGAATGAGAAGAATATTCGACTGTGATTAGTCAATTCTTACAAATTACAGCAACGGCATACAGTTACGGTCAATATAAATGATCCCTTACCGACTGTTAGACAGAGCGTCGCAATTCGCAAAAAAGGGGACAACAAAGAGCGCAACATAAATTAAAAGTAAAAAAAAGTCATTTTGTACTCTCCTTCCCCCTCCTTTCGTTAGTAAAAAATTTCAATCCCACAGGCGAGATAAGTTGCCGCCCATGGACATGTCGAAATTAAATTTAATAACAATAATTAAAATAAAACTAATTTAATTAAATTAAATAACGAAATAAAATTTTTATATTTTAGCAAAGTAAAGGCAGTAGCAAATCGGTCTTACGTGTGCTCCGAAAACATATTTATCCAACATGTTGCCATGCAGAGCGAGTCCGCCAACGTCCCATAAATGTAGATTGACATTTTTGTAGCTGCCGATGCTGATATTCTTAAGAAAGAAATCGATGCCTGCGGTGGGTATGTACTGCCTGGTGAAATCGTTGTTGCAAAACTTCTGAACGATGCTGGTCTAAAGAAGGATCCTTGAATTTCAATTATCAAGAATAACAGGCATCACAATAGTAATTATCTTTTATCATTTAATTAACCTATATATAATAATGACAGCATATATTAAATTTTATACTGAATAAATAAGAGTAAAAATTGTGTCCAAATATATAAGAATTTATACTGAATCACGCAAAAAATATTGCGCGCGAGTTGTTGATTTTTTCTCGTGACGTTTGTCATTTCGTGACAAATATGAAAAGAAGAACAGAGAATAGCTTCTAAAACTAAAGGTTAATAAATTCATACTTGACCTACATGATTAGCCTCGTTAATGCAAAAATGCATCGATTAGAAAATTCGTTTCTGCCGATTTGCTTTATTGTTCTATCATTATATAGCAAGTTGACGGATACGATAAACCGCGAACGTCGCATGTTGCGAAAGTTTCCGCATTGGATCCACAGGCACGAAGTCGCGGCCGGAGACTTCATCGATCCTAGTTCGCGCATTACATTCATCGTAAATCCATATCGCACAATACGACCGTATGTTTATTACACAGAGAAACATATATAGTTATCACTACATCAATAAAACTGTAGTAATATTAACATGAATAATACCTACAACAATTAGACGTAAAGAATCATATAAACATCCGCAAAAAGAATTGTGAACTGGTTAACTTCACCGTCCGTCACAGTCGTCACGAAAAGAAAATGGAAATTTATTAAATACTCTTCGATAACGAAACCCTCCCTGTCACCTGTTGAAGGATTCTTGCTATAGCGTTTTTCACCATGGTGATCGGCAAACAAATTTAAACGGACAGATACACACTAATAAATATATCGCTCGTTAAGTGTCGAGCACCCTCGAAACTAGGGATCAACCACCTCTGTCGACCGCCCGCGCCGCCGCGTTTTCAAGCGACGCTGACAAAAACTCACTTTGCCTGCACCGGAGTCACCCACGAGCACAATCTTCAGCCGTTTCTCGGCCGACTCCTCTTCAACGTTCGACATTGAAGATGTGACGAAGATACAGGCCGAGTCGACAATGATCCTCGATAGTGATCATGCGGGCGGCATGATTCGTCCGTCGGGACGGTCTTCGACTATAATGGCGCGGCATGGAATGTGGCAGCTCTCGTGTTGTGACCGACAAGCAAGGTCCGAATCGACCGACAGTGGTGGCCAGTACGCCGTCGTCGTCGTCGTTGTCGTCGTCTACTCGCAGGCATGAATAAATTAGCGAATAATCGATATTATAACCGTGGTATCGCCAACTTTCATACTTCGTGGTTAGTATAGAAGTTTTCGACTTGAAGAGTGATTCTGTACAAAAAAAAAACAATTTTACTGAAATATTTCTAAAAATATATCTCAAAATTTAGCTAAGATACAAATCTGAAAATAATTTTGTTGGATTAACAAAATAATTATGTAGGATACTCAAGCATAACAAGCAATGCTGTAATAAGTTTTAACGTTTGAACAACCAGCTTGAATAAGCATCTTATATAATTATTTTGATGATCTAATAAAATTACTTTACATAAAATTTTATTTACAAACTTATTTTTAAGATATAAGTATATAGCTAAATTTTTTTGCTTTAACAAAACTATTCTTTTCGTGTGACAACAACAATGACAACAATGATGACGATGACGTTGTGCGTAACGTTTTGGGACGACGACAATGTACTTGCGTTTAGTGGGACACTTCTCAGTTCTTTAGGTACTCTTTGTGCACAAGTGTTCTTGGACAATTTGATAGTTTGGAAACAAATGCTATTCAGTGTAAAAAATAGTGTTTGCGATATTAAATTACAATTTGTTGTATGATACAATCTTGTTTTCTTATTAACTAATCTATACACTAATACTGGCGTAATGAAAATATCGTATTTTGTATAAATATATTATTTTGTCGCTTTATTTTTAAGCACTTTTCCGTGTCACAGAGTCGCGATAACCTTCACAAAACAACCTGAAAACCTATTGTCAACGTGCCTTAATTAAAAATTAGATCCTTATAATTTTGCAAAAGATAGTAATTCGATACTCTGCAACACGTAATGGTTCTCACAACTGTAAGTCGATCGGCTCGCTCGAAATTTGCTTTGACGATTTCATAGTATCTTCCGTCACTGCAACAAAAGTAATATTTTATAAATATCGCTCATTCTACAAGATAAATTAGTTTTAATCGTACCAGTGCCTAAATCGTACAACAGTTGTAATTGCGATTTAAAGATTATAACGCTCTTGATAATATAAAATGTATACAATAACATGTTAACATTTTAGATTACTCTTTACATTTTGTACCAGCAAAAGCGTTGTAAACATCTTTAAATCGGAATTATACAGTACAGTTTATGCACAGATACGATTTAAGCAATTTTACCCTTCATCGCTATATTTTTTACCTGAGGCTTAAACATTTCATCTTGATACACTTCACACGTAGTACATCAATGGCTTTTTGACTTTTGTCCGAAAACCGTAAGTTTTCCGGATCCCATCGCAACTCCAAACGCTCCAAATTAGGACAATTATTAGCGATTCCGTCCATTAATTGATCCACGTGAATGTTGACGCCCAGTCTCTCTTGAGTGCCCATCACAAGTATTCTGAAATATTATTGAAATTTTTAACAATACGACAAAGGGCAAGTTCTTTACCGAATTAATTTAGGGGGGATTATTTCATATATAGGAATGTCCGAATGTTTCGGCTCCTCATCATATTTATATTATTTAGCGTCTCAGATCGATTGTGGTTAATGTCCGAATGTTTCGGCGCACAGTCACATCTGATTGTGAGATAATTAAAATTTTAAAAATTAAGAATATTAATTATATTCATAACATCTAACTTTGACCGATCATTGGCGCTCTCTAACCTATGTAAAAAAACAATTGAGTTTTTTATTTTTCAATCTTTTTGTGTAATTTCCGGATAAAATCCAGTTATCGCAACTTATCGGGCTTTGCTGGATAACATCCGTTTAACTAGTAGAAATAAATGACGAATTATCCGGTACTTGATTATTCGACAAATTGTTATCTGTTGCATTCCTACTTATATGGGATTAGTCATGTCCTAAATACTCACTTTGCATTAGTGAGAATTGGTAATACACTTTGCCAAAGTTGATCAGTAATGTGTGGCATGCCTGACAGCGCGAGGCCGTACAGCTGATGGCCGTGCCTCGACAGAAACTTGTGCAAGGCGTCGTCGCTCAAATTATCGGATCTATCTAAGTCCAGTGCTATCAAGTTCCGCGTAATTCCAAGCTCGGTCCAGGCCTTCAGCACGTTATCGTTAAAATTGTTTAATTGACCGGCGCTCAGAAAACGCAGTCCGGGGATTCTGCTCAACATGTCAATCAGGCATTCCGTCGATAGATCTGTAGCAGTAATGTCGAGCTCCTGAATGCTCGACTTTTCCCATTCGACTTGCATCACATATTCGCTCTGCAGATCTAAAATATTGTAACACTATTTCTAAAATCTAATGAAAAAAATTACATTTTTTATTAATCTTCTAACGTGTAATTTAGATAATACAATTTATTTAAACAAAAATTTTTAAAAATTCGTAAACAGATTTCAAAAATCTTAAGTAAATAAAATTTTGATCAAAAGTAGCAGATAAATCAAGACAACCACAGATATAATCGTATCTCACTTGTTCCTTGCATAAGAAGACACGTTAGTCTTCTACTCCTTTGGAAAAGAGTTTTCATGGTTGAACCAGTCACTTTGGAACAATAATTTACCGCTAAGCATTCTAATTGAATACAATTAGACGAAAAAGCGTCGATATGCGAATCATCCACGAAGTTAATTCCGTATAAATTGATTACTCTTAAATTTGGCGTCGCCGACTTTAGTTTATGTACATTGATCACCTCGTAAATCTCTTCTTCTTCTTCTTCGACTTTTTCATATGTCCCTAAAGAATAGAAGTAATTAAAAGAAATACTTAACATTATAATAAAAATATATACTATAACAATATTTTTTAATATACAGAGTAGAGCACCCAAAACAAAACACCGGAATATTTCGAAAATTGAACCAGGTAGTCAAAAATGTTTCAGACAAAAATTGTATGGTTTTAAGGGAGACAAATAATAGTAAAATAAATTTTCGAAAAAATTGATTTTTCAAGATCCGAAGATGAAGGTCACTTCCACTTTTTAAAATGATATTTAACGAAGGACGGCTAAAACCTTCTGAAGGTCACTCGAAGTCAACCTTGATAATATATGTTAAGGTCATCGGAGAGTGGTCCGTTATACTAAATATTTACCATATTTAGTATCTCAGATTGCATTTCGATAATCGCTATCATTACTGAAAATCTATAATATATACATACTATGTAACGTGAATTTTAAGTTTTCAGTATTGGCAGTGAATGTCGGGATGCATTTTTAATTTTAACTTGTAACGGCAACGGTAATTATTTTTATTTTTATAAAATGACGTTCCCAACTCATGATGTGAGTGATATGTCATATATAAGAGATAATACAGAAAAGTGAATTTAATCAATTACCAATTAAATGAAGTATTTCCAGGCCATTAATGAAATTATAAATCTTTCGCATGAAGCCTTCCATGAATATAACTTCGGAAAGGCATATACACATGTATTTCAATTTCGTAGGAAACGCTTGCATTTCCGAGAAGTCATGCAGTTGCATCGCAGTCGAAAAGTCCAGCAACATATGTGTTAGATTTGGACACTTATTAGCTAATTCATGAAGAACCGTATGAGTGATCAATTCGATCGGTAATTCGATATACCTCAACGTAGGTCCAAAGCGTACGCTGAAATATTAAGAAATTTTAAGCCATCATTGTTTTATAATACCGTAATTCCATGCCTAAAATAAGAATGGACTTTGTTCTTTCATGTCTCTTTAAACACTAACATCTCAAATAAATACTTTCGCGATTCTGATTCTGGTTTTAATAACAAGATCTTCAGATAATTCCGAGGATAATTCGACATCATTGCGATAAGTGCCAAATGTTTGTCTAAAATTATTTCTATAATTATCGTATACTAAACGACTAAGAGACACTCGAGAAGCGTGAGGATTACGCGTATATTAGGTACATTTTTCTCTTACCTGACTAAATGTAACAAATTTTCTAGGGAGCTCACATGGAGCCCACTTACTTCTGGTCTTAGTGACACATGCTTCCAGAGACGTGTATCATAAGCGATTTGTCGCCAGCGTTTGCAAACTCGAGCAACTCTGCATATCTCGCGGTGCGAAAGGTAGCAAAAGACATTCAGAAGAACTTTGTCCGGTAATTTTTCTATCGTCTGTAGAGAAAAGACATTTTATTTATATGTACAAAAATCAACGGCGTACTATTTATTATGTTATTTAGAATTATTTAGGAAATTGGGAAATAAATTAGGAAGTCCTTTAAAGAAATTTAATAATACCGTAATTTCGTGCTTAAAATAAGAAATAACTGCAATAAATCTAAACCCTAAATAAGAATAATTGTAATTATTAATATTGTCTTTAATTACTTATTTTGAAATATGTTATTTATTTTAAGTATTAACAATACCTTTAATATTCAAATAAATAATTAATTATTAATTAATTTAATACTCACAGTATATACAATTTCTCTGGTTCATATCAGACTAGAAAATGAAATTGAATTTAACCAATCAGAAGAAAGAAAATCAGTATCAAATTCAATATACTTTACTTTGGTGAAATTCGATCTCGATTTCTAATTTGATATGAATGTAAGGAATGACATTGATCAAATATTTTTATGAATTAAATCAATTTATGTAATTCTGTATTCGTGTTTTTATGTGCGTTATTAATATGTAACATTTATACGTTGGCGCAATTTCGAAGTAAATTGAATGTATGACGTAAATACACTATTCGTTGAATTTGCTCTTCCCGTTAAATCAAACTAATTTATCAATTTTAGACATCGATTTTGATTCTCTTTTCTATAGAATCCTCATACAAACGTATATAGCGAGTGATATAATGTTGAATACTACGTGCTAATTTTATTTCCTCGATAAAGATTCTATGAAAACCTGACGTGTGAAGTAAATGAATTCAGATAGTACGAAAAATAGATCGAACAAACGATCGTATTACATCGGTGTTAAATAAATCAACTTACAGTACGACTTTTAGCGGCGCCGCCTTCAGAAACGTACATCTGAGACGTTTCCAAAGCAATCTGACCCCAAACGTCCACACCACCGAGATCCATGGTGCTACTTCTTTTGACGTTAGATCAAAATGAAGATGTTTGACTTTCGTGATAATTTTCTTCACGTATAGAGTCTATTTTCTCTCTCCGATAAATTAGATACTTAAATCTTTATTTTTCGATTTTATTACTATTTTATTTTGCAAGGTCACCTTAATTTTTTTTGCTGTTAAACGTCACCATTCGATTACGGCTTATTTCATCATAATTTTCGCATAACAAATGTTATATTAGGATTTTTAATTCGTGCACTTTGATGTTTTTAAACGTGGACGAAAATTTAATAAACGGGAGATATTATGTTCGGAGTTATACGCGATTCGTTGGAATCGCGACACAACAGACAGAATTCGGGGAAGCTTACACTACAAGTCTTCAGCAGAGTTTTAATCGGATCGCGCTTGCGCGTCGCCCTAAATATAAGACTTGGAAGGCTTGCTTGCACTTTATTTTAAACCCCACCGCTATCCACATCTATTTGGAATACTAAGTCTTACATTTTTAATGAAATTTACTTCCTGACAAAAAATCAAACTTGAAATGATCATTTTATTTGCAATTGCCATACACGATCTACTTGGCAGATTTTATAAATATATATTTTGATTATCAGTGAAATAAAAAACTGATTTACACTCTTGATGTACTTTATAATATGGATGATATTTATACATATAATTATATAATATCGAGCATAACTTATCAATATATAAGTAATTTTTATATCTATAAATAATTCGTAATTTGTATAATTATCTTTTCTGGAATACATATATTATTTTTTTATACATATACACAGAATATATCTATAAATATATATTCTAGTTATTTTTGGAAATTTTATAATATTTATACTATTTATACTCTTGGCATGCTCACAAAAACTAATACCATTTGGAAAAAACAAATTGACATTAAAAATTCTGTGATATTATTTAACATTTACATAATAAACAAATATATATTATACCAAAACAATGGTTATATTTGACACTATACCGATGTCTGAGCCGATGATGCTCACAAAAACTAATACCATTTGGAAGAAACAAATTGACATTAAAAATTCTGTGTTATTATTTAATATTTACATAATAAACAAATATACATTGTACTAAAACAATGGTTTTATTTGACACTATACCGATGTCTGATATAGAAGGTGCTATATCGAGAAAAATATGAAGAAAGGTTTTTGTCATGAAATTAACGAAAAGCGGTCTATTTCGCATAAGATGTGATCGAAGATCGGTTTATGTTGAACACATACGAAGTACGATTTATGCGACTTGAACAGTTCTTCTCGCTTTCTCGATAAACCGTACTTCATATACTCGTACATTCCGACACGCAAAATAAATCGCTTTTCATTAATTTTTTGACATAAATCTTTCTTCATGTTTTTTTCGATATAGTACCTTTTATGACTCAGGCGTCGATACAGTGTCAAATTTAATTATAGTTTTAGCATAAAATAACGATATAATTGAGTAGGAGCAATTTGGCGATTCACATTAGATTAAATTTGATACTAGATTTTATAGTGTACACCATATACAGGGTGTCCCATTTTTAATAATTCACTAAGATTTCTCGAAAACTACGATAGATACGAAAAAATGTTTCAAATAAAAGTTCGGATGGGGACATAAGAAGGTACCATTGATTTGATCTTGGGTAACGTTGCCAAGACCAAATCAAGATCACGTCGATTTTTTTAAACGGAACCCCCTATATTTTTCATTACATTTTCTTATAGCTTACCTCGAGAGCTTTTCAAAACACTATAATAAAATATTTTTTCATTAAGTATTTTTCGAATTATAAGACTCGAAAGTTACAGTACAGTCGGCATTAGCATTACGCAAGTTGTCCGACCGATGGCTAAAAACCTCTTGATTGTTGTTCAGAATCATGTCCTGGATAACATTTGTTAAGATCAAAGTCACTGGAGGTTGTATCTCTCATTTTCATTTTTGCACTAAAAATTCATTTTTACGTAAAAATAAAAATAAAAGGAAAGTTTTATCACTTACAATTAGTTGTGAGTGACGATTTTATTTATTTGATTAAAAATGATTTTACTAATTGTAAGAATTAAGATATTAAAAAGACAATATAAATTATACTAACACTAAAAAAGCAATAAAATATTAAAATGATACTCTATATTTACTAAGCTCAATACTGGAATCAACTTGGCACTCAATGTTATTAAACTTCATACAAATGTATAAATGATATTATATGAATTCAACGTTGAATTATTCGCGAAACATCCTTCATATACTTTTGGCGTAATGATTGGCACGGTTTCAATGTACACTTAATGAACCACCAGCAACAGGTTATACGTCTGTCGCGTAATTAAGGTACACGAGTCTCGTGTTGACCAGCGAAGTTAGTGACTTTTGATTCTAATTACACACCTAGAAAGCTAAGTTACCTCTAATCGGGGCATCAAACTATAACAATAGAGTTTATATCGATTAATAATCAGTATTATCAAGAAAGCTTAATATATATAATTGTCTTTAAGTATTAATTTATCAAATTGTATCAAATAAAAATATCGTAAAAAAAATACTGAATAAAAACTGAGAAAAATAACTTGATGACCTTTTCTACGTTACAGTATTATCGTAATAATAGAGTAAATTCTTGAAACATATAAAACATATATAAATGTATATCAGATAAAAGGGAGCCAAATTGGCTCCAACAGTCCTTCTAGGTACACAATTAAATACAAATTGAATCATCTTATATATGTATATAATTGAAATTTTTTTTACTATAATTAAGAACATAATAAATGATGAAAAGTTACAAAAGGATATCACATGAAAGCAAAGTTGAAAAAAGTTATAGCAATTTGAATTTCGCGAGGAGCCAAATTGGTTGCCTCTGTTCTTTTAATATTTATTAACAAAGAACCGACTCCCTTAAAATGAATTTTTAAAATCAATATTCTCCATTTTTAACACTAATTGCATGTACTCACTTCTGTTAAATTCAATAAGTATTGATAATAACTCTGTCTCAATGTTAGATATTAATGCTTGTCTTAAATTCAATTTCGGAAGAAACTGACAATAATAATAATTCCATTTTCAGATGAAAACTTTTTTTGTTTGTTTACATTTCTGCCTTTCTCTTGTAAATTCGCGTCAGTTACTCGTCAGAAATCATAGAATGAATTATTCCTGTCACAATATATGCCGCATACATTTACGCGGTATATTATAACGTTGAATAATATGGTTTTCGTATATGGCTCCTGCGACAGAGGTCAACATTTTGAACAACATCTATATACATTAAGCAAGTGAATAAATACAATGTGAAGGCAAAACCCGAAATGAATTTGTCAATAATCTGCTACACAGCCAGGCATTGTAACTTGACAAATTCATATCTTCATTTCATTAAATGATATATAATTCCAATGTGATCCTTCACCACTCACTTATCCTTTTCATTTATATTTTATCTTAAAAAAACAATGATTTTAAAACGTTTGTACAATATGGTTATTTAACCGGCTCCTAAAAAACGTTTTTAAAAATAACCTTTAACGGTTTTAAAACAAAAATAATCATTTTTAAACATTTTATAAACGTTATTGTTCTACTTGGAAAGCATATCTCTACACACAGAACTTTTTTTCTTAGTTTTTCTTAGTTATCAATCCCCTACACGCTTCCGAAGTTTTGACATTTAAATTGCAAACACCCTGTATATTGAAATGTTAAACAAGTCCCGCAGAAGAGATCAACAGTAAAAATAATAATTAATAAAATAAAATTTTATGATTAGATTAAAATATTATATTAGCGTTGAACAAAATCTATTAACACAATAAGAAGGGAAAGGAAACCTTTATAAATGGTCAAGCTGGATTTTAAAGTGTTTAAATAATACTATGTGAATTTATATATTACCTGTCATTTTAGATTGCGCGCCGAATTGATTTTTTGGTCTTAAAACGCAAACCAGATTGAATTGAACTATAATAGTAATATCACAAATTAAATTGCCTAACAATTTAATAATTTTATGCTCGTAGGTATCTTATATATAAAGATCTTGATAATGCTGAATAACATATTTTTATTGCAAAAAATATTAGATTTCAATATGTTATATCAATATATTCAACATTATCAAGATCTTTATGTATAAGAAGCCTCGTTGAATATTGCTTATTTACATCGTCTGAAAAAAACATTTCTACATAACACTAAAAAAAAATTTAACGAATTTTAATAAATATTTAGGCTGTACTTTCGATATTATTAACTTAATGATATTATTTCACAATTTTTAATTTCAGAAAATAATCGTAGTATTTCTTTTTATCAAAATCATGGACATATTCAGAGGAAAATTCATAGTTATCTTTTACTAAAATATTACAAAATATTTAAGATTTAATATGTTGCTTTTTTGATCGTATGATGGATTCATATGATTAAAATTACCGTTTTTCCTCGATGCGTCGTGCTAAATTCTTCTTTGGATATTGCGCTGACGTGCTCCACGGCTAATTGCGTCCAAGTAGTCATTGTTAAAACTCAAATAATTTTACTGGACGAAAACTGTACGAATATAATTTAAAAAAATTTGAATACGTTCGCGTTTGCGATTCTCGGTGAAGTGCACCGATGGTCCATACGAGACAACAGAAAATCAATCCCGACTAGTCGAGCGGATCGGTGTTTGACTGTCCTAAGAGAGTCAGCAGTTGCGACTGAGTTAATTAGTTATAAATAAAGGCAAGCTAACAGGCAGGTAGGCATCAGGCCAGAATGGGAAGACCTATTGACATTCCCCGACGGCATTGATGTGACAGCTCGCTACGTGGAAAAGAAACGCGAGTAAACGCCGATGTAGACGTCGCGAAATTTCCTCTCATTCGGCTTATATTTATTTTGGCTAATAATTATTTTGATAGTCCAACATAATTATTTTTAGATCTATGCATGGAAGGAATGGTTTTGCTATTGATACCAGACTCTTCACTCTCTTTATTTCTGCAAAGTCGCAGTTGTGATCGTTGGATATTATAATCACATTAAAAAAGATTTAAATGAATGGAATTTCTTTTTTTCTTCGAGAAGGCAGATCACTGAACCTTTGAGTCCGCTTTATATGCTACTACTGTTGTGTATATATAAATATATATATAGTATTGTAGCCTTAATAGATCGGAACTGCATTCTAATGAGAAAAAAAGAAACCAGTTTTACTGTATTATCTAAAAATTTAACATAAATACAGATTTGAAAATAATTTTGTTAGACCACCAAATAATTATGTAGGACGCTCAAACTGGTTATTAGAATGTTAAAACTTTTTAGCATCGCTCATCTTATTT